CTTTGGTTTGGATTCAAATTTTTTGAAGCGAAAACATGAAGGGTAGGCTATGAGTTGAAAGAACCCCTAAGGTTTGTTTCCAAGTGGGCAAAACCCTTCCCCACTTCTAATATAGATAGCAAAAGTTATGGGGTTTTAGGCAGTGATATCAAGCACATGAATGTTGGGCCACTCCTACCCCAACTCTCTTGAGAGATTGAGAGAGAAGAACCAGTAATGTAGCTAGCTAGTTGGCATGCATAACACAATGGACCCAGTTCCTTATCTCCAAACCAAAAATAAACCACCCAATTCAATAGCTCGTACTATACCGACAATCCTAGAACTTTGACTTTCGTAACTATTGTCCAAAAGGGTCTTTTCCGTATTAATAAAGATGTCGTTTTTTGTTTTAGTTGATATGATAATGTAATAAAGATGTCATCTTTTTGAAAGGTTTAATCTAACTCGACCCATTTTTTGCTTTAATCGATATCATAACGTAATAAAGATGTGGTCTTTATCGAAGGCGTCATTTGACTCGAGGCGAAAAGATACGATGATTTGAATTGGGTCGAAGTGAATGTGTGTAGGAGATGTGCACGTGCAGGGGTCAGTTTTAACAAGCTGTACTCGTAAGTGATAACATGCCCTGCAGGTCAGAGGCTGGCATTTTGTAATTTTGTATTATTTTTATTTATTTATTTGCATTTGAATATTAATTTTATGCTTTTTCTTCAACTACTTTTGCCCCATATCTTCCCATTAATAACTTCCCATGCTTCCCTCTTGGAAGCATTTGTTGTTGGCCATCCAAGAAAATGAAAATGAAAATGGTTTTTATTTTTTATTTTTTATTTTCTACTTTTGAATTTATAAATAATTTAAATATAACCATTGTTTTCTAAATTATAATTGTATAAAGTTTTTGTTTCTATTGTTCTGTGGCGACGCGATGAATTGTCAACTAATACAAAAACAAAATTTGAATGTACCTTTTATATCGTATCTTCATAAATCAAATCGTACGTACGGTCATATATAATCATAAAGAATTCTTACGGTTGAATAATTGTATTGCATAATAATGGTTCAACAATTAAGATATTTTACGTAAAAAAAAAAAAAAAAAACTTAGTTATGTAATTAATAACATAAAAAAAAATACCATCTCATTCAAAATATTTTATCTAATTATATATGCAATAATATAATGTAATTATATCATGATTAAATTTAACTACTAATTCATCGATAAATTTGAGACCATATCTTACAAAATCCAAGATTTTTCATATATATAACTCATTTTTATCACACGTGTTCACCAAATCAAATCGATGTCTTTTCAATCGATAAATCAATAATATAAACGTTTATATGTTTATAAAATAAAAATCATATTTAAAGAAAAAAAATGAAAATGTCAATTCTCGTAGTGGAAGCCCATGCGAATACAGACCAAGGTTGTCCATTCAGTAAATTGCTAAATTTTGATTTTTTTATAAAAAAATATATAATTTCCCAACGTTGATAGCAATTAAAATTTTTATTATTCACCATATTAATATATTAATAATTGCAATATTAGCTAATTATAATTGATTAAATATTAAAAGATTGAAATTCCGATCTAGGTGAACTATTTATTTTTAAGAAAAAAAACTTTAAAAGCTACTTCTAGAACATATTGTAGGACCAATACTTTGTGGTATATTTTCCATAATTTATTTATTTTTTAAAAATTTCATTTATTTTCTTTTTAATTTAGTTTCTATATTTAATACAAAAATCTATTTATTAATTCAAACATATTAAAATATCCTATTAGAGAGCTCATACCTATAAGAATTTTTTTAATTATCGAATAAATAAAATGACTTATTAGACTAAAGAGAAGCTGAAAATTGAGGGTATATCTACCAAACTTATAACTTTAAACTTCTGTATGACAATTTTTAAAATTTAATGATTGAATAAATGTAAATTTAAAAATATAAGGACTAAAATTATAATTCTAACTAAAAAAAAATAGGGGAGGTATGAGTTTTTTCCGAGAGCTTTCCCTCATGGTTTTAAAATATATATACTAGAGAAAGGTTTCCACATTTGTTCCTTCCTCCAACCGATGTGAGATCTCACATTCCACCCTCTTTGGAGCTCAACGTCCTCATTGCCTCAATGCCCCATATCTAACTCTCTAGTAGATATTATCCTATTTGAACTATTACAAAAATAGAAAAAAATAATAATCATAACTTTTTTTTTTTTTTCACCAATACAATTTCCCTTGATCTGATCATTACCTGTATTTGCAAATTCGTCAATCTCCAATTAGTAGATTGATGTGATGATCCCTTAAAAGACTAATGGATGTCACCATAAAAATTGGTCCCAAAACTTGTTGCCCAAATCTATAAAGTTTGAGATTACTAAATTCAATACCACTAACTTACATGGTCTAAAACCATTTTTGATATCCCCTTTCATATCCCTTATTGGCTATTCATAAAAAAAAAACTAATGAAAATGTGAGATCCTACGTTGGTGGGAGAAGGAAACAAAACATTCTTCATGAAGGCATAGAACCTCTCCCCTTTTAAAACCGACTAACAGCGATTTGTAATAGGCTAAAATGGGCAATATCTGTTAACGGTCGGCTTGGGTTATTACAAATGGTATTAGAGCTAGACACCGAGCAATGTGTCATTGAAGACGTTGGGCTCCGAAGGGGGTGGATTGTGAGATCTTATATCAGTTGAAGAGGGGAATGAAATATTCTTTACAAGGGTGTGAAAATATCTCCCAAACAGACGCATTTTAAAACTGTAAGACTAAAAGCGAAACGTAACGGGCTAAAGCGAACAATATCTATTAGTGGTAGGCTTGGACTATTACAAAAAATCTCTCATAAAAAGAATTTAGAGGCCTATAAAATTACTATCGAATGTCCATACCGAACAATTTGTAGTGCGGATAGAGAGAGAGAATTGACGGGCGTAGTAAAATGCATGCCATGGAACCCAAGATGATCTATGGTTTTGTATCATTTACTTAGATCCTGCTAAAGTCCCTCTGAAGTACTTTTGCTAAAAGTCTCTATGAAGTGATTGGCTGCAGGTCATTGTGGGAAACTATTGTTTGTAATTTATAAACTGACATCACTTAGCAATCCTAACAGGAACATCATTATGCCTAATTGCCTTTTAGGTCGTCGTAATGATTCCCATTGTGAAGATGGATCTTCCCTATTGAGGCTGCTAAAGTGGACCAGAAGTACCATTTCGACCATAATAATTCAATAATTTAAAAAACCGCCTACAATACAAACATACTCTATATCTTCTCCTGTGTAGGGCATTGTTAATATTAATCAATAGAACTTATCTATTGTTCTACGGTTAGATCTCACATTAATTAAAGAGTAGAACGTAGCATTACTTATAAAAGTGTGGACATTTCTCCCTACCAGACGCATTATAAAACTTTGAGGAGAAGTTCGGAAGGGAAAGTCTAAATAGGACAATATTTACTAGCAGTGAACTTGGGTTGTTAAAAATGGTATCAGAGTCAGGGCATCAGGCGGTGTGCTAGCGATGACGCTAGCCCCCACGGGGTGATTGTGAGATCCTCACATCGGTTGGAAAGGGGAACGAAACATCCTTATAAGGGTGTGGAAACCTCTTCCTAACAGACGGTTTTAAAACTTTGAGGGGAGCCCAGAAGAGAAAGACCGAAGAGGACAATATCTACTAGCAGTGGACTTAGGCTGTTACAAATGGTATCAGAGCCAGACACCGACAGTGTGCCAGCAAGGACACTAGGCCCCCAAAGAGAGTGAATTATGAGATCCCACGTCGGTTGGAGAGTGGAATGAAGTATTCCTTGTAAGGGTGTGGAAACCTCTCCTAAAGGGGAAGCCCAAAAAGGGAAGTCCAAGGAGGACAATATTTGCTAGCAAGACTTGGTTGGACGGTTAGATCTAGATCTATAAATGCTGAAGCCTTATGTATGATACATCCAAGTGTACGAAACTTGAAACCGACGGATTAAGTTCGTAGTCCTCTTACCAATGATGATATTGAGCTACACTTGCTCGGCAACTTCAAGAAGGATTGATTAGGGAGGTCTTCATGGACAAAGAAACCAACATTTCTTCAAACAAGCACAAACAGCGGAAGAAAATAACATCACTCATTGCCTAGAGAGTACTTCAACGAAAAGGGTGGAGCTTCACAAGGAAATAACATAACAGTGGAAGTGGTAACTATTGAAAATCCAGAGATCAATATATTTGATATAGTGTACCAGAAAGATCTTATTTCTATTTGTTCGAGCTTTTCATGTTCCTGTGTTCAAAGGAGTAGTAGGCAGGGGATGAAGTAATTATAGCCTCTGTCCAGAAAATCCAAAGGATTAGTAATGGTCATCTCTTATTGTCTACACGCGTCTAGGTTTATGCATGAATCCATGATATAGACAACTAGTAATAAGAAGATACTAGTGCCAAACGATACAGTGTAAGCAAAAATTTCATTAAGAAATCACCTGGCATAGAGAAGAAATATGTTGATTGAGACTGGATAAAATACATCCTTGCAAAAGAATACGAGTAATCATCAACTTGCACAAAAAAAGAATAGTAAAGCAATACTTACCTCACCCATAAGTGAGCAGGAAATTCGTGGAAGGCAAGAAAGTGGTTGGTTCTTCTGCAGAGGCAAACATTAGAAAGCATGGAGATATTCACTCAAGTATTCCCTGCTCAAGGTGCTTGCTGATTTCCCCTCCCTCCGAGCAATTAGTTCAAACTGCAACATGACTTCCTTTCCTCAATGCAACAGAATCCGGGAACCTCTAGCTTCCCTCGAGAATTAACAATTGGTATTAGGAAATGTTTATGGATAATTCTTAAAAAAAACAAGGGAAAAGAAGAGATGATATTATAAATTTTTAGTTAATTAGCTCCGCAGCTATCATAATGGAAGATTTTTTCCCATTTTCAAGAGCATATCACTGTTACAATAGGATCAAAACAAAAGCAGAGATCTTTTTACATCTAATTACAAGTATTATTTGAACTTCCACTTCATTGCAAAGGCCTTTCGGGTGTTTCCAAAGTAGATGTCATTCGTCCTTCTTCCGCCCCCAATTGAATGGCAAAGCATTACTTTCAGTAAGATCCGGGGCAGGTGTAGTTGCTTCGACTGATTTTGGACTGCGCTCCTTTGGATATGGATAAATATTGGCCAGTTCATAGACGCGTTGGAGCAGGGACTTTGGAAGGGGACGTGAGGCATGTGATTGCTTCCGTTCGATCTGTATAATTGAAACATTTTCAACCAACTAAAAGCATGCTAAAAATTTACTTCCATACAAAAGATTCAATGGAATTGGAACAAAGACAAAAGGACATTAAAAGTTAATCCAAGGCGTGCACAATTCACATCCGCTAGAAAGGTGAAGCATTAAGACAAAAAGGCTCACCCCTTTTCTGTTCTGTATGTTAACACAGCTAGCTCTCAGAAGATTTCGCCATTTGTCCTGCAGGGAAAACAAGATAAGGCATACACAATTCACATTCTCATTGGACTCAAGGACAACCAATCAGGAAGTAGATTCGAGTGAGACAGATACCCTGAGATCTATAGGTGTGCGATGAGGAGAATGTGCAAATAGGTGCCTCTTTATATGAGTCCAGCGGCCAGTTCCATATTCAGCAATTCCATCAACTAATTGCATTACTTCAGTAAGGGTCCACATCTTCTGGTGCTTCCTCCTATCATGCTTTTTACATCTTTTAGCAGACGAATAAACATTTTTACACTCTGTTGCAGAATATACATCTTCTGATAGAAATCCCTGTAATATAGAATAAACATTTTTACACTCTGTTGCAGAATATACATCTTCTGATAGAAATCCCTGTAATATAGAATGAAAGAACTTACAATTCTGAAACTATAGCAGAATTAGGTGATAAAACAACAGAGTTCCATGGTCAAAGACTCATAAATTACAAACTTTGAAGTTACGGCAGGAAAAGACAACAAGAATTTTCTATTTACAACCCCCAAGTAAAAACCCCTCACACATGAAGATAGACAAAAAAACAAAAACAAAAAAAACGTCTTTCAAAAAGATATAGCATTATGCATGACTTCATCAAAGCAGTTCCAGCTTTAACTCTAGAAAGACTTTGCACCAAACAAACCATTAAAAAAAATCATATAATATATGAAAGGCAAATAAGACACAGAAATCTCAATGATAATTATATTGACAGGATGAACAGATATCAAGAGAGAACTCCCGTACCGAAACTGGTACATGCTTCTTTGGATGTCTTCTTTGAGATCGAGACTGCACTGGAACAGAAGTACCACAATGCCATTCACTTTTAGGCGTGGACACCTGTACCTCATGGCTAACATGACTAGATTCTTCAGTAGATGTCCCTTTCATGTATTTATCTTTTGTAGGAGTTTTTTTCCTTCCCTTGTTACTTTCAGACTTAGAATCTGAAAATTCTTCAATGAACCTTCGTGTAGGCTTACGCAATCTCCTCTCCCTTGAACAACTGACGAGTTTGCTTGCCACAATATCACCCTTCACATTTTCATCAGATAAATCACGATTTTCTATATAGCTTTCATTAGTATTAAATTTATGGATACTTCTATTATCAAGTATTGTATCGCAGATGCTGCCTTCGTGTGGTGTTACACGACTACTATTGGTCCTCAGACCAGCACACAAATCATGAGTGAAACCCCTCTCAACATGTGTATTATTGAATTCAGTCTCCATTATCATTGCTGCTGACAATTCTGATATTCCAAAAGCATCTGTATCACTCCTGCTTGATCCTTGAGACTTGCACTCTGAACTTAAGTTTACCAATTTATGGATATTTCTATTATCAAGTATTGTATCACAGATGCTTCCTTCAAGTGGTGTTACACGACTACTATTGGTACCAGCACACAAATCATGAGTGAAACCCCTCTCAACATGTGTATCATTGTATTCAGCCTCCATTATCATTGCTGCTGACAATTCTGATATCCCAAAAGCATCAGCATCACTCCTGCTTGATCCCTGAGACTTGCACTCTGAACTTAAGTTTCCCAAATGCAATCCCCTATTCTGTCTGAAAGAATTTTCAGCAACTTCTGCATCTGTGCTTTAATAATACATAATTAAAGTTAAAGATAAAGAAAAACAGGGAGAAAGAAAGAGGGGAAACAGAGGCTTGAGAATACTGACTACATATGAAATTTGTTAACATATAACCACACGAGGAAAAATTATATGTATAATGAGAAGATAAACTTTACATGTATTCGGCAGATTGTTTGCTGCATGGAATTCCCCTACTTGATTGGCATCACCCAGCAGTTGATCAAGATCCTAAAAATTCCATTACACTTCAATCAATTAAGAAAGATAAAACTAAATCTGAACAAGAATTATGACAGCCCCGTTTGATAACCAATTTGATTTTTTCTTTTTGGTTTTTGAAAATTAAGCTTGTTTACAAGTGGTTCCTCAACTACGGTTTTCATCTTTTTCTTTTTTAAGTAGCATATGAATTCTTAGTCATCTTCCAAAAACAAACAAATTTTAAAACTACTTTATTTAGTTTTCAAAATATGGCTTTTGGTTTTTGAAAACAATGGTAGAAAGTAAATAACAAAACAAGACACTTATACCGAAGTAATGTTTAAAAGCTTAATTTTCAAGAACTAAAAATCAAATGGTTATCAAACAGGGCAACATTTTCAAGTTTTTTATTTTTACATTTCTTTTAACTTCCTATATAGGAAACCAAAAGGATGCATTAAATAGGAGGAATAGGAAAAGGGATGAGAAAACACACATGGAACCAGGGGATTTGCGTAAAAAGCTCCTAATTGGTAAGTGTCATAATGACAAAAGGCTTTGGACAAAACCACAAAATGTAAGGAGTCTAACTAGAAATTATGAAAAAACACCCAAGGAAATGTGAGAATTACGGAAAAAATTTCTTATTCCTCCCAAACCAAACTCTCCAAAGAAGAGCCTTAATAGGTTCTAGCTTTACTCCTCAAAAGGATGTCTACAAAAGAGTTGAACCACAGCCATCTTGCAGATCATTAGAGAACACCAGGAAATACCAAAAGGCATGTTTGAAGTGATTTTGGTATGACCAAAAGTCACTGGGTCCACTCATCTAAAACTCAAAAAAAAAAAAAAAAAAAAAA